TAGTTTTGCCCAAAATGGTTCCAGAAATTTTCTTCCTAGGTACTTAACATTTACCACTAATTATCAAATTATTTTAAATTGGCAGCCTTTTAAAAGACCATATACTATTCTGTACCTCATACATCAGCAGGTGCTAACATTACTCAGTCTGTCAGTCATGGGGAAGCTAATTAAAATAGTCTTAATTATTTCCCTACAACAATAAAGACGGACCCTTAAAAAATACCAGTTGGGGGTTAATGCTTGACACTTGACACATGAATTAAAGTGAGCAGTGATTTTTTTTAATCTGTTATATTAAGTCACATAATTGGACACAAAAGATTCAGGTACAATTTGTTTTTGTGATTGAGTTCTAGGTGGTATAATTTTTAATTATGCACAGAGAGTTCAATGTTGAATTTTTAAACTGCAATTTTTCTTTTCTACCTGCAACTCCTTTATTCAGATCAACCTCTCCTGTGACAGGGATTGTTTGAATTCCTAACTTAACAGTAAATTCGTAGTTCACTTACTTTTCCTTGTCCAATGATAGATGGACAGCCAAAAGTATATGTCTCAGAAAATACAGCAAAACATTGACATAAAAGTAACAATAGTTTTCTCTGATGAGAAGGTCTTGAAAATGGTCTATGACTGCCTTTCTCTTATTCCTCAGGCAAGGAACAGCGGCCTCTGGTACTTGACACTGTTGGGGAGGAAAAGTTTCCTCTACCCTTCTGGGGTCTTCTATCTGGTCAAGAATCAAATTGACATGAGTCAGATTAACAGGAAGCAAAAACAAAGTTGAATTACAAGCTCACAGAAACCCAATAATGAAATTGAGATTGAAAGAAAATGACCAAGTCAGGCAGTTTTTATAATTTTAAGACAAAGAAACAGCAAATCTGTGTGGAATTGACAGGACAAAGAAAATTTACATTCTGAAACTTCAGTTAGTAAGAAAATCTAAACAGCATTTGGACTGGGGTAGCAAATTAGTAAAAAGAAAAAGGTTGTTTGCATAGCCTCTGGGGTCTAAATTCCCTCTCTGGCAATAAGGAAGTCTACCTGTTGAATCAGGGAGGGGACCTTTCACATGGGAGATTTTATTTCCTGCTTCAGGGGATGGGGGCAGGGCAGGGGGGCTTGCTGGTTATGGTGTCCTTCTTGCACTGATTGTTTCTTAAATAACTTTTAAATCAGAATAATCAATATGCCAAAGTGGCATGCTGTTCTTGGTTCCTATAGTTCCCTCCTCTGAAACTTTCCTGGAAGTTTCACACATTAAAAGCTGAGCTGGGGTAGGTTTTTCCATCTCACTGAATCAGGCTCTTAGCCCTGGCAACACGTCAGTTCAATTAAACTCACTTCAAGAGGTGGTGATGTAGTTATGTTCCCAAAGTTAGGCCTATGGTTAAGTAATCAGATATTAAATAAGAGCTATTGCTATGGAAATAAAAGAAAAGCAATAGTTAATGATTGACACAAATTATAAACCAATTTCTGAGTTCCGACAGTAACCAGTCAGGGAGATTTCTGGATGTTTGGTTCAAAGCATCCTAGACAGAGTGAGAGCAGGCAGTGGCAACCTGACAGATACTCCTGGTTTGAAGTCCAAGTGTCTTTGGTGATCTCTCTGAGAGGCCCACACAGCAACAGATACAAAGATTGTCTATATGTGAGCTATTGTGAAGTTGACATCGTCATTAATATTCAGTTTACAGGGCATCAGGAAAAAGGGCAGTTTTAGTTCTCAATGACTCTAAGTCCAAAGGATAGGAAGAAATTGGAAATGTTAGTTTGGAGAGCTGTAGCCAGACACTGGAGGAAAGTAGAAGAATTCAGCATCTAGCCTAGTGCGCAGGTAGGAAACAAAACCTCAAGAACAATTAACAGAACTAAAATCAAATAACCACAAAGGTGTGTAACTAAATCATAATTTTTTTCCTGTAAAATCACCTTCATTTTTAGCAAAGATAGCCAATTAAGACTAATTTGTTTGTAAAATTTGGCCTGATTATTTACCTAAGAGCAACAAGAACTGGGATTGATCAGGTAGGCTCTTTTAAATCTGTTGTGTTGGAACTTTTCATAAGGACTTTTAAAAACCTCTCAAGGCCAGAAGCCAAGCCAAATACTTGCCATTAGATTGCCTACAACACCTATGGATTTGGGTGAATTCCTCCCTTTTTGAAGAAGCCATTCCAAAAATTTACCTATAAGGCTCTTCCTTATTTACATCTATCCAATTTACTTGTTCTTAACAAATTAATCTTAGTAATACAAATTAATTTCAGTACTACCATCCAGATGTAGAAAATGCCATATATTCACAATAGACATATATACACTTACAAACAGACACAGAGACCTTATAGTTATTAGTATCTGTGAAGAAGATATTTAGGATTTGTCTTTATCTGTGGAATTAATCTTAAGGAGGCGGCATCAGCATCTGGGCATGAAAGCCCTTTCAGTAGTTTGTTTTTTTTAAATCTCTTCCCGCTTTTTAATTCTTCAGTGTCAGGTGATGGTGGGCCATGGTTACATTTCAGACATAATAAGATTTAAGAGTTTCAGGGTAATTCCTATTTAAAAATCATTTTTTCTTGTGTACAGGACAATTTCACTCCAATATCCTAATCGTTGTATAATATATACAAACATGCTGAGAGGAAAGGGTGAGGTTTGGGGACTGGTAAAGGTAGGTGGTGGTTTTGACTTGTTCCTAGCATTGCATTTCTGGTTTTGTAGAGATTTTCAAGACAAAGACAGTTGTTTTTTGTCCCCATAGAACTGAAGTACAGCAAGAATATCAAGAGACTGTTCAGCTTTTTTTACTAAACTTGCTTTTTTATATCAGGAAGATTTTTAACTAAAATGGGAATCAAAGATTTATGCCTTTTTAAAGTGTGTATAAAGCATTCTAATAAAAACCTTTTTCCCAAGTACACAAATCGACCTTGGCTCCTACTAGCTCCTGAGTATCAGCCTTCCACTGATCATTTGTAGGACAGTGTAGGAGATATTTTGGTTATCTTTTTCTTGATGAAGGAAGGGAAGGGGTTTGTAAATGGCCACTACTCTTTTTAATTACTCTCTAAGTTTAGTAGGGTCTTCTGAAAGTGCAAGTAAAAGGGCTTTATAATTTAAAAGATCTGCTTCTGTCCAGGGGTCATTAATTCTTTGCAGCAGAAAGTCTAAGATAACATCTGCAAAGGACATTGCATAGGAATTAGGAATGCCTGAAACTGTCAGAGCTTAATTAGAAGGCCCTGGAAAACAGGAGGACTTGTAAGGAAAGGGAGCTTTACTACCAGTCTTGGGTGCTTCTGCTAAATTTTCTTCCTGACAGTCAATATTTGTAAAAATAACCTATATTCCCTGGGCCTGGAGATCATCAGGCTAAAGTGCTCTCTCAATATCTTCTAGGGAAAGGGAAGTTAAAATAGTCAGATGGACCCAGATTCTGAGAAAGGGAATTTATGTTGGATGTGGACATTAATATATGTCTTTAATTTATTTTCTTTCATCTTGTCAGGGGAATCCCTAAGGCTAGCCATTACACTAATAAAACAATTGAGAGCTCTCTATAAAGAATTTTTTTCTTTCAAATATAGCCAATTTGAAGGGTCCATCATTTGACTATTGATGAGTAGGATCTTAATCTCAATAGTGACGCAAACCAATAAGCCTTCTTATGGAAATACCCAGAGGCAACTTTCCGGGCTTAGACCATGAACACAGAGGCACCACTGGAGAGGATATAGATCATGCAGACTCCATGATGCATAAGTTTACTCCCAAAACTAGTCTGAGAATGTAAAGGCCTTTGCTGCACAGGCAGTAAGGATGGTGTGCTGAAAAGTTTCCAATATCTCACGAAAATGTGGGACAACTCTAGCCATAGATGCATTAATTGGTGACACCAGGCAGATGCTACTGGAATGGGACTTTTCAGCAAGAACAGCAATGAAGGTTGAGGCTTTTATGGGCTGGGACCTCTTATGACAAACTCCCCTGAAAGCTGGCACAGTTGGACAAAAACTATGAGGGACCTGTTTTTTAAACAACTGCTCAAAAAACACAGGAATCAGATCACCTCACCCTGTTTTGAACAGAATAGGGTGACTTAGCAAGCCACAAGTTCACCCAATTTTTTTCTTAGATGCCCTAAGTTCAGATCCTCAGCCTATTTGGCTGTCTGCCAGACACACACAGGCACATGCATCCTCTAGTTGGTGGACAGCAGAGAATACTTTCACTGGTTGTAAAGCCAAGCTCTCAAGACACTCAACAATATGGAAGAAAAAAACCTCACCTTTTATTCTCAGGCACATTAACAGCTTTAGCTAAGCCTTAGGTCTCTTGGAGCCAAACCAGTCTCTAGGAGAGACGTGCCATGGGGCTGGGAATTGTGCGGTATCTGACAGTGCACCTCCTGGCATAGAAACCTTCTTAAGATTGATGGTTGACCTAGTGTCAATATAAGCTGCTCAGTGACTGACTTACCCCACCTCAGGAGTCTCTGGGTTAAGTGGCAAGCACTGTAATGCTTGTAAGTAGTCAATCACTGCCCACCAATTTTGTGTCTTTGTCTTCTAAGACATCCCTTAACAACAGCCTTTACCTCATGCACACGTTAACCCAAGAAAAGTGTCTGAAGAGACACCAGTCTGAGGAGAACTTCTACCTCTTCATTCTGTGCGGCAAGCTCAAATGGCAGGCTTACAGGGCCCATGGGGGTGTTTTGTCCCATGGTGATTACTTTTTATGACAAATAACACAAAAGGCAAAGACAAAGTGAAAACAAGGACGATATGTGGGAGGAAAGGGACGGGTAAAACCAAGAGTCCACCACCAAGCTTACCAAGAATCTCAAAACCCAGAGGACTAGTCCACAGGTACTTTTCCCTGCATGTCTAGATTAACAGACAGAGAAAAATAACTCACCTCCCTCACTACACTGGGTTGCTCAGATAGAGATTCCAGGAGGCTGATACGATAAGAAATCTTACCTTCTGCTGGCAGTATGTCAGATGTCCCAGCATCGCAAAGACACAGAATTTTCAGAGCAAATATCCAGCAAAAGCTTATCCTGCAGATTATGCCAGCCATTGGAGAGGGAACATTTTCCTCTGCATTTCAAGGGTCTTCCAGCTGGTCTAGAATTAAGTTGACATGAGTCAGGTTATCAGGAGGAAAAAAATGAAAGTTTAATTGTGTGCACACAGAGGCTCAATAATGAAATTGAGGGCAAAAGAAAATGACCAAGGCGGGCAGTTTTTACACTTTTTAGACAAAGAGACTAAATTTGTGGGGAATTGACAGAGTAAAGAAAACTCCAGTTAGTAAGGGATAATAAACAGCATTTGGGCTGGGGTAGCAAATTAGCAAAAGCAACAAGGTTTTTTATACAGCCTCCTTGGCTCTGAATTCTTTCTGATGATAAGGATGTCTCTTTACCTGATGGTACAGGGAGGGCACCTTTCACATGGGAGATTTATTTTCCACTTTCAGGAGCAGAGTAGGGATTAGAGTGTTCCTTTTGCGCTGGCTGTATCTTTTAATTCCAAATAATCAACATGCCAAAGTGGCACATTTGGGTGGCCTGACCTTAGCCCCTAGGCAGAATTATCTGTGCATATGTGATAGTCACCAACTTTGTACGTTCGCATAAGGGAAATCCACACTTCATTGCCTCCTGGACTTTACTAGAGTAGGAAGCCTTTGGCCATGCTGTGGGTAGCTGACTTGGCAACCATCATCTCTCTGGACCCCAGTGTTTGGTTTCCTAGCTTGATTTGTCTGGAAATGTGTCAGGTCCTAAAAAAATAGCTTGTTTACAGAGCCCAACAGCATCCCAGTTTGGGTGACAAACCAATTCACAATGGGAAATAATACTTTCTAGTAGAAATTTTGCTGGAATATCAATGTTAAGATCTGAAAATATCTTAAGGAAAAGGGCTAAAAATAACAATAACAATAATAACAGCAGCAACAAGAGCTAATAGCTAACAGAAGGGAAAGAAAATAACATTTTTGGACACACCCAGTAGTCTGGGGCCCTATTCTCACAGTGAACCTAAGAAGGCATTGAACCCCAGTTTTGTCCACATCTCCCCTTTTCAGACCTTGAGTTGCCTCCCCCATTCTTCTGATTATAATAATTATGTTGTTTCAAGAAGACCAGCCAAAACTGCCCTTAGAAAAGAAAAAATACACAATTTATAAAATTCTTAATATAAAAATATACTTCACTTTTATTCAAATTAGTGAAAACTAGAACAAGTTTTAGTGGAAAAATGATAGAATCAGATCCCCTGCTCAGAATCACAGCCCCACTCTGACTCAACCTTGGCAGGCATGAAATGTTAGGCTCTCCTCTAAAGTGGGGATCGTAGCAAAAATATTCAAGAATCTTGAACGATTTTTGAAAAAAGCTATATAAAATACTTAGAACCTAATACTTGAATGGTGCTCAAGTAATGATAGTTATTATTTACAAGATTTCAGATAAAATACACTTTAATCTACCCAGTAGAACATCATGTGGCCATGACAATAAGGCTCATCAAAGTTATAATAAGATGGAAAATGTAAAGTTACATTGATGGATGAAAAATCATAAAATTAAATTGTCAGCCACGTAAAGTAAAATAATGCATAGAACCAAGATCAGAAAATTATGCCCAGTCATTAAATTTGCTTATTTTGGAAGGTGGGATTTAAGTAACGTCTCTTTTCCTAGTCATAGGTTTTTGAAATGTCAGCTTTTCTATGTTGATTATGGATATATATTTTCTAACAGGAGAAAACTTAGTCATATGGGATTTTAAAAGGCTCCTCACTATCAGCGTCATAAAAGCTCACATTCACTGACTGCTCTTAAAGGAGCCAGCCACTTTTCTAAGCACTTTCCATGGATTACTTTTGATGTAGGGCAGGGAATTCGGACAAGCATCATGGTTAATTTTTCCTGCCTATGATGAAAAATGCCAGATGTAAAAAGTACAGAAAGAACAAGAGGGACTCCATCTTAAGGCTAAGATTCCATTTTAAAAACCAAGGAGTTAGGAGTAAGATTCCTAACATATTTTATGGCAATCAGACAATAATTCACTCTGTCTTAAAGCAGGGCAAGAAGTCCTAACTGATATATTTCCGGTGCTTGAGGGAAATCACTATCTTGGAGAAGAACAGGATCAATAAATTCCTTAAGTTACAGAATTATCTTACAGAATCATCTAGAAGACTGATTGTAGATGGTGACATAATGTCTCTCACTGGAGAGAGACATCATGAGACCACATGTCAAGCCTACACCCACCCCACCCCCACCACCCCGCCACTCTTTGCCCCATTCCTGAGAGCCTTAAAAGACAGAATCCTAAGCCCTTAGGTGTGCCTCCTCTCTGAGGTTGCCCAAACTCCCTTTCCTTCAAGTGTGTACTTTTTAAATAAAGCCTTCTCACTGCTCAACTTATTGCATTTTGTCACTGTGCTCTTCCAGGGGTGTCTTTTTCACTTTGCTCTTTCATTCTATTTTCCAGACTTAAGCACAAGTCTTCACTTTGTCTCTGTTCTACTCCAGAAAAGTAGGGAGGAGCTACTGAGAGCCCTGATTTGGGCTTGTGAGTTCCCATTGTCTGGGTGACCTGGACAGGACTGTAGCTATACAATCATGCTCTTTGGTAGCCTGCTTATAAATCTCCTTTTCTTTGCCTTTAGAAAGTTCTCAGAACATAATCTCACTCTATCCAGTGCTCTGCAGCTCCCTCAAATCCTGGGATGTTAGGGACTTAATTCTCATGCCATGCAGCTTCAAGCAGACACTGGACACCAGGTAACCCTGACTTTAGGAGTTGGCAAGGGCTTTGCCCTATGCCATGCATGAGTTCAATGAGTTTCCTTTTCTTTCCTCTGCTCTTCCTTGCTTTCTGCTGCCTACAAAGCAGCTGCTATTCCCTGCTACTCTCGCTTTAATGAATTCCTTCCTTACTTACACTCATCCAACCTGTTTAATAATTCTTTCTCATCCAGAGTCAAGAACCCTCCCCTGTCCAGACTGAGGCTTCTCCTAGTGCTTCACCTAGTGCACAGGGAGAGACCTCCCTGGACGCAGCTTCCCGGCAACACCTATTTGAATCCTTATAATGATATTATGAAGTATAGGGACCCAGAGCAGGCCTCTCCAAGACATGCCACAGTGACATATTGATTATTTCAAATTAAAGTCACCTAAGAAAGAGCCAGGAGAGAACACTCTGAAAGCAGGAAATACATTTCCATGAGAAAGATACCCTCCCTGCAGCAGGAGGTGGACAGACATCCTTATCATCAGAGACATGAAATTCAGGGTCAAAGAAACCTGTATAAAGTAACCTTATCATTTTTATTAACTTGCTACCCCAACCCAAAATCTGTTCAGAATTCCTTATAAATGAAGTTCCAGAGAATAAGTTTTCTTTGTCCTCTCCATTCCTCACAGACTAGGTTTTTTGGTTTGTTTGTTTTTTTTGGCTGGGGGTGTTGGTCTAAAAAGTATAAAAGCTGCCTGCCTTGGTCACATCTTAGGTCCTACATTAATAAGACCTCTCCATATGTATGAACTACATTTGATTTTTCTCCTGCAAATCTCCTGTAAATTGACTCATGTCAATTTAATTCTTAGACTAGCCAGAAAAACCTTGAAGGGCAGAAGAAAAATTTTCCTTCCCAACAGAAATATTATTATTCTCCTTTTAGAAAAATTATCATTCTCCTCAGATAAGACAATTGAAACACAGAAAGGTTAAGAAGACCTGCACAGCTTTTAAAAATTTTTTTATAAAGCTATTTTTGATATACACTCTTATGAAGGTTTCACATGAAAAAACAATGTGGTTACTACATTCACACATATTCTCAAGTCCCCACCCATACCGCAATGCCGTCATTGTCCATCAGTGTAGTAAGATGCCACAGATTCACTATTTGCCTTCTCTGTGCTACTCTGTTTTCCCCATGATCCCCCACACCCTGTGTACTCAACATAATACCCCTCAATCCCCTTCTCCCTCCCCACCTGCCCTCCCACACCCCTCCCCTTTGGTAACCACTAGTTCATTCTTGGAGTCTCAGAGTCTGTGCTATTTTGTTCCTTCAGCTTTGCTTTATTGATATACTCCACAAATGAGGGAAATCATTTGGCATTTGTCTTTCTCCACCTGGCTTATTCCACCGGGCATAATGTTCTCCTGCTCCATCCATGTTGTTGTAAATGGTAAGATTTGTTTCTTTATTATGGCTGAATAGTATTCAGTTGAACATGTAGCTGTCCAGTTTTGCCAACATCAGCTGTTGAAGAGGCTGTCATTTCCCCATTGTATGTCCATGGCTCCTTTATCATATATTAATTGACCATATATGCCTGGGTTTATATCAGGGCTCTCTAGTCTGTTCCATTGGTATATGTACATCTTATTTATCCATTCATCTACTGACGGACACTTAGGTTGCTTCTATATCTTGGCTATTGTACAAAGTGCTGCAATAAACATAGGGGTGAATATGTCTTTTTGAATCCGAGAAGTTGCATTCTTTGGGTAAATTCTAAGATGTGGGATTCCCAGGTCAAATGGTATTTCTATTTTTAGTTTTTTGAGGAACTTCCACATTGCTTTCCACAATGTTGAACTAGCTTACATTCCCACCAGCAGTGTAGGAGGGTTCTCCTTTCTCCACATCCTTGCCAGCATTTGTTGTTCTTAGTCTTTTCGATGCTGGCCACCCTTACTGGTGTGAGGTGATATCTCCTTGTGGTTTTAATTTGCATTTCCCTGATGATAAGTGATGTGGAGCATCTTTTCATGTGCCTGCTAGCCATCTGAATTTCTTCTTTGGACAACTGTCTCTTCATATCCTCTGCCCATTTGTTAATCAGGTTATTCTCTTTTTGGGTGTTGAGGCATGTAAGTTCTTTATATATTTTGGATGTCAACTCCTTGTCAGATATGTCATTTACAAATATATTCTCCCAAACGGTAGGATGCCTTTTTGTTCTGTTGATGGTGTTCTTTGCCTTACAGAAACTTTTTAGTTTGATGTAGTCCCATGAGTTCATTTTTGCTTTTGTTTCCCTTGCTCAAGGAGATGCGTTCAGGAAGAAGTTGCTCATGCTTAT